CGCCACCACCCTCCAGCTACATTGCAAAAAGGACACGCCGGTGCAAAAGCTCTGAGCGCCATCAGTATACCTTCTGGAGAACATGATGTCCTAGTGAAGAAGGCAGAGTTATGGGGGAACGAGATCGCAGTAGAGGAGAACATTGCCTTTGACCAAGACAGGTCGTCAGCCGAGAAGGGGGAGCCTTTGAAGAGTTTCGAGGATCTAACAGTCGAACTCGTCGAAGAAGACCAAATTCTGGTTCAAGCAAATTCAGTCGCAGGCCAAACTCAATACGCATTCTTCTCCATCAAAGACGGTGTCAAAGACCACGGACCAAGAAGCGCATACCCGAAAATCGCCGAATGCGCAGTGGCACTCTTTGAATCCATCTACAACGAAGCCGTCCGGATCTTCTGCGGCAAGAACAAATGGATCTTCTACGTCGGCGGCGACGCTCCACAGATCTTGAGGCTCTAACAGCGCACCTCGGGGGCAGAGCCAATATCATCCTCGGGGAATGGACCCCAAGGGCCTGCAACATTCTCGCCTTTATAACTCGTACCGCCAATCTCCTCGCAATTTTCAAAGAAATCGCCATCATCGAGTTCCGTATGAACTCCACAACATTGTTGATTACGATTTTCACCCTAGCAGAATTTTAGTCAAGGGAGAAAGTACAACAATAGTAGGGACTGTACTTACATCTTTAGGATAGCGTTTGACACAGACCCATAGTGGTTGATTCTTGAATTGCATATTCAAGTGAATATTCATATTCAGAATATTCATGATTAATTCTAGCATTCTTGAATATTCATAAATATAAATATTCAGGCGGTTATACTACGGCGCACTTATATCCTATATAAGTATACAAATTCCAGCTCTTTCTTTATATAATATAATATCTTTAATAGGACGGAAACACGTAGAAGTAATCGAGGTAGGTAAACAGCCAACTATAGCATTCTAGCATATACTAATAGTTTAGATATCGGACTCGGAGCCTAACTCGGAGTAAGAGTTGTAGACAATCGACTAGTCTACGTAGGCGTTCTTAGTATTATAGAGCTATTATCTCAACCTCCTACTTAAGGATATAGTAGCTACTTATCTAACTCTTAGCGAGACCGACTATTGTGTTACCCCTACTTAGCTCTATTTCTAATAAGCCGGCATCCTATTATTTATTAACGAAGTAGCGTAGAATAACTTTAAGTAGTATATCGGAGAGGCGGAAAAGGAGGATCTATAGCTACTATTCCGTAGGGTTACGAGGAAGACGATAAAGAGCCTCGTATATACGCCGGAGATCGTTCGAAGGGCTAGGGAGTATTAAGAACGTATAGCTAAAGGTGTTCGAAGAGTACGTAAAGCTATAGATCGGAAGAGGAAGCGAATAGCGCTAGGTTCTCGTCGTTACTTCAAATTCGGTAAGAAACCGTGCTTCTGCTCGTTTAAGTACTCTCTCGGGTAGAAACGGTAGTATTCGCGGCGGTAGATATATTTTAAGGCTCGGATCGATAAGGTACTATACCGCTTAATCGATAGTAAGGTTGCTAGCGGCAGCGAGGTTGTTATAGAAGATTAAGTGTAAAATTAGTCGTAGATTAGTATTCGAGCTTACTGTCGTACCTGCCTAAGTACGTTATTCGATGCTTCGGTTAGTCTCTCCGGCTTATCTAATTAGGCTATCGGATAGCCCCGTCCTAGCACGTACCGTTACCGAAAGCTAATTTGCATCTTCTAAACTTCTAAATCTCTAAAGTCCTATATCTCCTCGACGCCTACGCTACGTACAACGCTCGCAGAGGGCTTAAGATGCTATTCGGCTTAAACGAGAAGACTTAGAGTCTGTATCGGTACAGTAACTATTCAAACTAGTAAAATATTCATTCTTTTTGCCCTTTTATATACTAATTCTGATTATTCACTTAAATATTCTGAATTGAATATTTACTAATTTGATTTGAGGGTATAGAATCGATTATTTAAGAATCAACTACTATACACAGACCGTATATATCAAACCGCTATTATATACCCAATCTGTATAATAGTAATACTTGTAGAAGCGAAGCGCTCTACTAGCGTTTTAGGCCTATTGCTTCCGAATAGAACTACAGAAGGGAGGACATTTAGTATGTCTTTATAACTAGCAAGCCTTCATTTAAGAGTTTTTAGATCGATATACCTTAAGCTACAGAAAGTAGAGATTGTATACCTTAGGCCTTATTATCAATTCTCGAAGTAGCTAGAAGGACTTGTACCGGCCCCTTAAAGACAGCTGCGTCTTATACGCCTGTTATAGATGTTGAATTGTAAATATTCAGTTTGAATATATATTTATATTTAATTGAATATGATCTTGAATATAGGTAGACTAAATAGTAGGTATATTTATATTTAGGCAAGCTATACGTCGGCGTATATAGATCCTATATAGATTTTCAATTTTATAGTGTTTCAAGCTCTTTCTTTAGACAATAATAGGTGCGAAGCGTATAGAAGTAATCGAGGTAGATAAGTAATAATACTAGTTATTCTAGTAGTAGTAGTGCTAACTCGTAATTAGCTATTAGACTCGGAGTCTAAACCTAAGCTAATATCGTCGCTAATATTACCGCTACTAACACTACCGCTACTAACAACTTAAGAGCCTATTATTAAGACCGAGCCTACTATTAAGCGTAAACCGTTACTAGTTAAAGAAGATAAAGAGCCTATTGCGAAGAGGCTTCGTAAGAATCCGAGGAAGAGGTCGAAGGCGATAGAGTAGCTCGAGAAATAGCGAGCCGAGATAAACACTTAGTATAAGGTAATAGAGCGGTTGCTAGAACAACGCTAGGAGATTAGGAAGGGATATAAGGCCGTAGAATATAGGATAATTGCGAAGAATACTAAGCTCGACATTTATCTAAAGAAGGTAAAGGCTTTCGACGAGTATATTCGGAAGAAGGGCAACTATATACTAGTGTATCCGAGGGACTATCGTTGCGAGGTATGTCTCGACCGTATTCGTAGGGTAGAAGAGAAGGCGAGGCACTTTAGATTCGCGGATCCGTATAGTTATAACCTATATATACTATATAGCGGTAAGGAATGTAAGCTAAAGGAAGAGCTCGCTACGTAGCGCGCTCGTAACGCTTTAGCGGCAATAGCGATAGCAAAGGAGTGTATTAGTAGTAGTAGTAGTATTGTAAATAAAGAAGATAGAATATAGAAGGTATTAGTAGCTTCCGCATATACTATTGCTACTTATCTAGGGTCCTATAGCGTTATATAAGGCTTAACGTAGCCTAATAATCGTATCCGGAGAGTATAACCGAGAGCGGTCCGCTAGCGGGCCTTTCCGGCCGTATAGCTTTAGTAAACTCAAAATTCTTAAATCTATACTAACAATTATACCTCGACGACAAACACCGCTATAGTTAACCTCCGTACTATTTATAAATTAATATACAAAGCATAAGAAAATTTGCTAAATAGCTAGGCTTCGTAACGGGAAAACGACCTACCTCGAAAACGTAAGCGTAGCGATAGCGCTAGCTATAAAAGCGATAGCGACCTCGAAGCGGTCCTAAATCCGATACTAGTCGAAACACCCTCTACTAATACGTAGTCGACTAAGTCTATACAACATTCGACACCTTCTTTACTATAAGTACTAAAGCTATTATCGGCACCTAGAAGCAAGAAGACAAGATAGAAAGCGGCGGATCCTGAAATACTAGCATATATAAGAGAACCTTATCTATAGGAGGCAGAGTATACAGATAACTATAGACACAAGGTATAGTACTATATATTCGAGGATTGCTACAAAACAGCCTTCGAGCTAGACTTAGGTCTATAGTATAGCACGATAAGCAATACGGACTATTATTTAATAAGAAGGTATAGCTTATATACTAGCAAATACAAAGGCAAGGAGCCGAGACAGAAGCAAGCCGATATTCGCGATAGTATAGCAATTTAAGTACTTACTAAGGTATCTTCTTAAGAGGAATACGTACTCTCAATCCTACGTAACGTAGCTAAAATATAGTAATATCGTAACGCTCTCGCTGCCTTCGCCTCCGAGCAGAGTATAGCCTTTAATAAGCTAGTTTCCGCTAGTTTCTATAATATTATATTAGCCGTTAATCTATAGGCTTTACGAGTCTTCCTATAGTCGTATACTTCGCTCCGCTTACGAGTCTTCCGCCTCTTCTATTATATACGCTATTAAGTAGTAAAATACCTCTCTATAGCTATTAGCTATATTCACCTTTATATAGACACCTAGAAGTCGCAATACGGCTATAAGTACTATTAAGCTATTAACTACCAATTCGTCGATAAGGATAGCAAGCTATAATAAGTGCTTCTCGACCTTCCTATTGTTATTATACGCTATACTAGAGCTAAGCTTGTACAGCTTCTTATTAAAGCCTTTAAGCAGTTTAATATTATTAACAATATTAGCTAGATTATAAGCGACAACGTTACGTCTAATAATACGTTAATACGTAAGATTAAGCGCTTTCTACGCTCCGAAGGCATTACTTAGTAGTACGAGAAGATACGCCGGCTTCGCTATATTAGACATATTATTAACCTCGCTATACAAGCCTTTATATTCTCGGAGTCTTAAAAGTCGGCGGAGATAGCCTTCGAGAAGGCAAAGAACAACGAGCGTACCTTTATTAATTAATAGACAGCTGCTTATAATGCCGCTACTGCTAGTAACGATAATATCTCCGTCTCTATATAGCTTAATATCGATACAGCCTCGTTTGCTAAGTAAGAGACTATATAGAAGCTATATAACCTGTTACTCCGCCTCCGAGACGATATTATATAGGCTATATTCAAGTTCTTAGCTAGAGCCGCTACTATAGCAGCGGTGCTAAAGACACCTAGTAAGACTCGGTAGAATAGCTAGCTCTTACTTATAGAAGAGGCTATTAAAGCTAAGCTAATACTAGACCTTCTATTCGTACGAGAGCCTTTACTATAAGACGTAGAACTAACTACAACCGACTAGATAGTAATTAAGCACGCTCGCAACTTCCTATATCTATTTAAGGAGGTTATAATACGCCTATAGAGCTACAACTGCATACTAGATAGCTTCTAAGAAGCTATAGAATACCTCGTTAACTATTACGAGAAGTCTCTCGAGCTATATAAGTATAGACCTACTATTACGAAGTCTATTATTGTCTCTTAGCACCTATTTAATAAGTACTACTAACTTATCGATAAATCCGGTACGTACGTAGCGGCCCTATTGCTATATCCTTTAAAGCGACTTGCCTAGCTTTAGAAGCGCTAGACTAGAGTAAAGAACACTAACTAGTTAGAGCTAGCAATAGCAAGAGCGAGGGCATTATAGCAAGAATACAAGGACAGGTACGAGCTCTTAGTAAAACCAACTACTACTATAGCGGTTATAGACCTTACTAGCTTCGAGTCGTAGCAATTAGCCGCGG